AGACCTCAACAATGGAATTATGATCAGTGGAAATGGCCATGACATGGGACCTTTAAGGTAACTCAGAGCAGCGGTTCCCAACCTTTTTCAACTCAGGGCCCACTTAAGAATGACATTTTTTTTCGCGGCCCACATTCAACCATAAACAATACGGAGGCTAAATAAAATTCTGATTCTGTGACATGTTGTGAATCCAGTAGAATAGACCGCTGTCAAGGACTGTAATGGCCGTTGCTAAGGAGGATCGAGAAAGAGAAAGGAAAAGAGGTTGAAATATAAAAAAAATCTTAATAATGAAAATGTTTCCACACAAATCATAATGTTTTGCAAATTATTTGGCGGCAAATATTGAAATTACATTTACACCCTTTAATATTTTATTTGGGCTTTTAGCTGAAGACCGCATACAGTTAATAAATATAACTATTCTGGCTAAAATACATATTTTTAAAAGTCAATCAAGGAGTAATCTTAATTTAAGGAATTTAAAGATTTAAAATACATTTGTTTTTGAAAAAATTATTGCCCCAAAAAATCAAAGGGTGGCTCAACATGCCATGAAATGGGAAATAATGAGCTCTAACGAAGAGTGGGATTAAAGAAACAATAAATATGCTTGCCATGTTGTGTTTTTGGTGGTATTTGGTTGTCAACCTATTTTTGTTTGTGAAATGTTGAAGTGATCCTACTGACTGTATCTTTATTTTTTCTGTTTTTGTTTTGTTTTTGTCTGAGATGGGAATGTCATCTCCTATATATTATAGTTAAAAAAAAAAAAAAAATCTATAGGCTATATAAATATATTTGGCGGCCCACTTGCAATGCCTTCACGTACCACTAGGGGGCCGTGGCCCACAGGTTGGGAACCACTGCCCTAGAGGAAGTAATAATAAACTAGCAATCTTTTTTTATATAGGATACAGTATGTTTGATGTTCATAGCTTTTATAATTGATACTTTATTGTTGCGGATGAAAGTCTCATGACTTGAATCACGTCAGACACGAGACAATAATGAGAACTTATGATATGCATTACTTACATTTCCCCATGTAGTGTACAGTACACTGCATATGTACTGTACATATATTCAGTTTTATTATGTTTAATACATATCTGTTTTTCTGACCTTCACCATGTCAGATTAGAGTTAAGCTCCATCCACCTCAACTGTGTGTATTTGTGTGTGTGTTTGTCTAGGTGTGTCTGCGATATTTCTAACCCTCATTCATTCTGTAACTACTTGTTGTTTGGCGTCTGCCCCTTCAACCAACAATTCACACTTCTCGTGTGTGTGCTCTTTTATGTCTTTTTGAGGACATTTTTTACAAAGTACACGTAAAGTTAATCAAATGAACTAATGTTTAAGGTTGGTTTTGAAATCTTGTTTATATTACTTAAAACTTGTTAAAACTCAATTTAAGGTAACAATTAGGTTTATGTAATAATAATAATAAACTTTATTTATATAGCACCTTTCATGCTTGACGCAGCCCAAAGTGCTTTACAGAGTTATAAAGGTTTGGGTTATAGGAAATGTCAGAGAGGGATCTCACAAGTAAAGATACATGTTTATTTGAGTCTAACTAGACTAGGTTAGCATTAGCGAAGGAGCACACCACACCCCTTTGCTGTGTGTGTGTTTGTGTTTGTGTGTGTGCCCGTTGGTGTGTGTACTCGTGTGTGTGTGCCCGTGTATGCCAGCTCACTCCCCCAACGGTAGCAGCATTGCGAAACAACAACTCAGACTTAAAAGTAGTAGCTGATGTCAACAGCTGTGAAACTAGAAACAGGAGCTGCAGTAGATACAATAGAGACAGGAGAGCCCAAACAGAAGTGTCCTTGAGCAAGGCACTGAACGCTCTGTTTTATTAGATGATAACAGAACTCGTCTGATCTGCAGGTCAAAGGGCAGTCTGAGGAGGCTGTCTATTGGTATCACGGCCCTTCTTAACACAAATGTTCACTCTGTCTTCATTTTGTTCCACAAGATTTTATTAGCACAAGATTGTATGAGCTACTGTTATGTGAGTGGATTAAATCATCCAAGGGTGCATTAACTCACCAAACAAAGAGGGTTACTGAACCTCTCACTGACTGTGGTTAACATTATCAAATCTGTAGGAACTTTTGAATATTGTCCGAAAACCATTTTAGCTGACAGGAAAGCCCTGCAACGGGTAGTGAAAGATGGCCAGTACATCATCAGAGCCCCGCACCCTGCCATTGCTGACGTCTGCGTGTCTCAACGGGCTCACAGCATCATCAAGGAACCCTCACACCCCAACCATGGACTGTTTGCCCTCCTCTCATTAGGAAGTCAGTACAGGAGCCTTTGATCCCACACCAGCAGGCTCAGGAGCAGTTTCTTCCACAACACCATAACCTTGCTGTACTCTCACAAACTCAGCACTACTCCACTCCCAAGACATGACCTTTGAACTACAGAACTAGCACCACCACACCTCCCTTTCATACTCATGGTACTTCAACCCACAGCTCCTCATACTTTATTCAATATTTACTTAATCTGCTTTAAACGTATGTATGCCTTAAACCCTGCCCCTTATCCGTGAATGCTTTAACGTTGACTACTCTTAGCACTTCTGGTTTGATGCAAACTGCATTTCGTTGTGTGCAATGGCAATAGTGTTTAATGTTTTCTAATCTTTAAACAGATAATTTGTTTAATACATTCCGAATTAAATGTAGGATCTGATATACAATGGAGGGTCACGGTAAATGAAGGCCCATGTGAATCGTTTTGTATTCATTCCAAAACTCTATATTTTAGAAGATTTATTAGGTATTATCTGTATGGAGGGACTGAGCCTAGTCGCCAATAATAATCGGACAACAAAAGGGCATGCAAAGAGCCTCTTCTTTTTAGTACAGGATGACGTAAGTATGTAAGGAGAGGTTGCTACGCTTGTTGGCTATATTTAGATATTTGTTTTTCTAAATGAGCAGGGAAAAATAAGATAAAAGCACATTGATGTCTTTTTTCTCCTTCATTTCTTTTAGGAAAAAACGTTTCAACTTTATCTCAGTATTTATATTACTATATCTACTATGCTTTATTTTTATTTATTTACATGCTTTACTGATACAGCACATGTGTGGGAGAGAATTTAGGGATGTGGTGTATGGTGGCCGACAGGTGCAAATGAGCTACAAAGACCCAAAACACTGTCATTGGGAGAAATGCGCTGCACTCTCAAAAACATGCAAATATAAAAACATAAATGTGCCAAAATCACATGCAAATGAAGAAACGTCTTCAACAACTTGACAACACTTTCGTAGCATCAATAAAACGTTCACCCACTTGACGAAACATTCGCATGGTTTACTAATATCATTCCAGATCTGCTGTAAGCTAGCCAGCTAACGTAGATAACCTAGTCATTTCAAATATACTGACAAAACCCTTTTAACACAATTATGAAACAGGCTTACTCTGGCAGTGCGTTTCTCCTGATGGAAAGGTTTTGGGCCATTGTAATGAGTTGGCTTCTGTCGGCCACTGTGCAAATTAGCCTGCTGTTCCCAGGTCAAAAAATAATTGTAACGCCTTTATTTTTACATATTATTGTGCTTACAGGACGTGCATTTCTAACTACGGTAATACATACACATTCCACAGATATTGGGACAAACATGGGTGTAGAGGGGGCCGATGCTCCATATCTGCCACGGGAACACTCGGCTTGTATTTCCAGACCTGATCTCATCTCTGCCTGGACAGGACGTGTTGAACAAGAAATACTAGAGTGCTGGAAGTACCTGGCCATTAACCGCCCCCCCCCCCCGCTGCTTTTACATATTATGTTTTTGGAATAAAAATATTGTTATGTAATGCGACGTATGATGCCCAAAGAGCAGACTTACAGTTGGCAGTGAAAGCAGAGAAGGAATTAGTGATTAAGTTGTCTAGTATTGATTATATACCGTTTTTTGTTAAATGGAATATGGGACTTCACCTTCTTTAAACGTTTATGTGATAGCATGTGTCTAAATCTAGTCAAAATAGAGATCAGATGTTGGTTTTAAATCATCAAACCAATTTATTTTTATTTTTACTAGTTCAGAGAGGGCAAAAAAGCCAAACACACAAAAAAAAAGATGTATTAGTCGGTATGCATTTCCCCCTCACATATGCTTATCCTGGAAATGTGTCAAAGGCAGAGAACATAGTGTACAGTTTATCCCGCTGACCGTTTTTGTCATACACAGTAACCAGACTAAAAGGGCATACATTGAAGGAATAACAATATTTATTTCCATCATACAGTACAGTCAGCCTGAAAAACTTGTTCTCATGTTTAGTGTTTGCAGTTGCTGCTCTGTCACTTTGAAGGATAAAACAGAAACATCGATGACCTGCTGTTTCTCAGTCTTTGACCCGGTGACATTATTAGTTAATGACACAGCAACCCAAAGCGGCTTAAACCTCCCTGCTCACTGCACTTTATGTAATCCTCTTCAGCTGCTCTCCATGCAGGTCCCTACTTCCTGCTTTAAAGCCTGTCTACAATGTCTGAATAGGAACATTATACGTCTCATATGTTAGTTAAAATGACTTTACTTGTGAGATCTAGGATGCATTAGAAAAGCCTATGTATGATTATAAGATCTAAAAGTATGATAAATCTGCATGTCAACAGACATCAGTTATTGGTGTGAGGAAAAAACTAAATGAAGTCATCTGTATCTATTCATGTTACAGTATTGCAACCCATACAAGTGTCTGCATGTGTATATTTAATGTTATATTTCATGATTTCTTTCTTTACTGCTCATCCCCATTGTTGCTGTTCCACTAACATGATGTCATGTGACCGAGTTGTTAATTGAATTCATGTGTTTATCCATATTTACTTTTACATGGTTAAATATGCATTATTTGCTCAGAAGAGTGACACACTGACCCGGATACATTTGACAAAAAACTCACCATCACACTAATTCATATCAACAAACACAATAAAGAAGCACAAGTTGCATCAATCCGATATTTATTTGTGATTTTTTTTCTTCTGTTCTTCACAGTTAATGTATATTTTTTTCAATGACAGTCTGCATCGGCCAATCATCTGCAGCCTAATCCAGCCAACTCGATGCCGATTGGCTGTTCAGGCTCACTCCCACCACCGATCCCATCTCCCTTTGTGTGCAACAATAACAACAGAAAGGCAGCACATTACAGCACATTGTACATTACCAAACATGAACCAAATGTAAACCTTAAAAAAAAATCATCCGTCAAAATGTTTTCCTTTAAGCTTTTTTTCTTAAACATATACAAATACCAACATGGTGAGATAATTTCACTTATTTTAAGCATCTTCACATGAACTAAGGCAGACCACTGCATGAGTATTAAAACAATGACACTTAAAAAAAAGTATCTGCTGTAAACTGATGGAATCATCTCACCTTGCAAGCATATTCCTAACATTTTAAGGCTTGATGAGTTGACAAGATGATGAGATTTTTTTCTGATTTTCAGTGAACATGAAGCAGAACAAACCTGTCCCCGAGGTTAGAGTTTCACACTGTCGAGAACAAAATGGCCTCATGAGAGTTTCCTTTCAGGGTGTCAGGATGTCACAGAACTCAACAAAGTCCCTCTGCATGAAGTTCTGGCTCTGCTTCAGGTCGTCTTCAGAGGGGAAATACTGCATGCTGTCCTCCTGCAGACGCAGACTGTCCTCATGCAGGACCACGATCTGTCCAGGGGGTGCTGTTGAGCTGTGTGGGTTGGGACTGCCCAACAGGGCTCCTCTTGCATTTTCCAGGACGCCCAGGTATGAGTCCATGTCTGTGAGCTCCACCTCGCTATCCGAGCTGCTCCCACTGTCACTCCCCACTGAGTCAGAGCGCATGTGTAGCATCTGGTACTTCTCATGCATCAAAAACTGGTTTGTGTTCTTGGGGGCTCGCATCCCCCTCGCTCTGTTCCCTTTAATGTTAACGGGCCGGAGTGACATCGCTGGCCTCTGGAAGTGTCTGGGATGAGGATGGTGTCGTTGAGGGGGCTGCTGGTGATTGCGCCCTCTTGGCCACCCTCCCACTCCAGTTCTCCGCCCCTGCATGCGCCCCCTGCAGCCCTTGGACCAGCCGTGCTTCCTGCGGCTGGAAGGGTCCCTCTGCGGAGCCTCTTTGCCATCCTGCTGCTGCTGGCAGCTCCTCCTGCACATCATCTCTGAGAGCATTTTCTTGCAGTCTTTCTTGCCGTTGCCTCCCTTCCTCCCTGCTGTCCTCCTTCACATCCCTGCTCGGTGGCCCACACAACAACAAAGAGAGGCTGGGTTTCTGGCTCAGATCACAAAGGACCCTCCTCTCTCAGTGTCTACCTTTTCACTATCCTTTCACTTTTTTTCTTGACCTCTGGCTTTGGCTGATGCATCGCCGGCTCTTCCTCTCCTTGCAGCAGCAGCTTGCCTGCTCGGCTGTCTGCTTGTCACGCCCTCCTCTATTTATCTGATTTCTCTTTTTTCAATGATCTGAAAGTCAAATTTGCTTCTTACAGCTCTGATTATTGATCTATAAGGAGCTGATAAAGGGGTTTTAGGCGCTGTCTAGCTGATTTTAAGCTATTTTTTCTCTGTTTAAGGCCAGCAAGTGCAGTGTACTCAGTTCAGACAACAAGCACTGACTGTGGCTCTGCCTCCTCCTCAGAGCCTGGATAAAGAGCTGGGAGAGTCCATTCAGAGGTTTAACAGAGGGAGGGGTGCAAGGTTAGAAGATTGTTCCACTTCCAAATAATAACATGATAATATGATAGATTTTTAACACAATATTACTTATAGTTATGTATGCAACATATTCGAACATGTATGCATGTGTGTACGGTTGGGTTGTGTCGTTGTGATGAGCTTTAAGCTGCTCCCTGCAGCAGGATGGTTCACTCCTCTTCAGTTTTAGCAGCTGAAATCTGATCCACAGCTGCTGCTGTTACTGCCCGCCCCTCTGACAACAGCAACAACAAGCAGCAGCACAGGGCCACTCACAAAAATAACAGTCACAGAAGTTAGTTAATGTGTCATACACACACAAGTACCCAACCCAACTATGGACTTATAAGACAGTGGAAATTACTGTTGCAGTGGTGAGCAAAATTACAAACAAAGAACGTTATGTTCTGGCTGCAAATGAACTGTCTCATAAAAAGCCTTCCCTTCATTAAACACATAACAAGCGTTAAGTCAATTTAATTAAGTCTTTTGTCCAGAATTGAATATCACAACAAATAATGAATGCACTAATTATCGGGCTCTTGTATTCTCCCCAGACAATAACTTACTTTGTTGTGTGTCTTTAACTGTAATGCCCTTAAGAGTGTCACATTTTAGTAAACATTTTTAACTGTGTGTGGATCACATTCAAGTCCTCCTTAGCATGGATTGTAATCACTTTATGGTCCCTTGGATTTGCATCTAGCGCCATCATCAGGTCAAGCTTTTGATTGAATATGAGTATATTCCAGCAAAACTAATTATATTTCCATCAGCCTCGGCTATAGACTACATGCAAATATTGCTAATGATCAACTGTCAACATGCTAACTGGCTAAACTAACATGGTGCACATGGTAAACATTAAAGCCATTCAACCTGTTTAACTCCAAAAATGTTGTATACTGTGCTCATTGTGTAGCATTTAGCTTAAGTACCGATGTGCCAAAGTACAGCTTTATAGAGCAGCTTTGCTGTAGTCTTGGTTTGAAATCAGTAGACAGGAAGAATGAATCAATAATTGAGGACATTATTTTGAAAAAAGCACAGGACCCCTTTATCAATATATAATAAGCAATAAAGCATAAACATTGTCTTCAATGTCACCTGACATAACAAATCATTTCCTCGTAGTAAGTCCATTACAACGCATTCTGCTTCCTGCATCAACAAATCTTTGCCGTTACAATTCAGTTTAGTTCCAAAATATGTAGGTCACTCGAACAAAGCATAGACCATAATGTGACATAACACACCCATATGATTGCAGCTGCACTAGCGACCCCGTATGGCTGTGATATGTATTACATATAACAGTTTGAAGTTTAATCAAGAACATTTGCTAAAATGACTCCTGTTATTGTGTTAATAACACAACAATAATAACACAGACAGTGTTATATATTATATAATTTAATTATTCTTTATTGTGCATTAATATGAAAGCAGTATTTTTGTTTGTTGAGGTGGAGCTTACTTTTTAACCATTTGAACAAATTCTTTTTTTTATTATTGATTAATCTGCTGAGTTAATTCTCAATTTGTTTGTAAAATGTGTGAAATAAGAAGTGAAAACTCTTTTTTTGTAATTTTTCCCGATGATTATTCATACAAAATATTTTAAGAAAGCCCTTATAGTCAACCACACGGCACACACTATTAATTAATAATCTACATCAATATGAAAGTATTTGGTCAAAAATAGTTAGTGGGGGGAGGGGGGGAATTGTCCGACCGGCCCAGCCCACTTCGGTACCGGCCCACCGGGAAAACTCCCGGTATTCCCAATGGCTTATAAAATATAAGTTATGGTGTGTGGATATGTTCTTTCTCTTAACAGAGGGTGGTGGTAATGCGCCACTAAACTGTATGCGAACCTCTGTAAAACAAGAAGAAGACGAGAAAGAAGAAGAAAGCTGTCAGCTGCTTCAGCAACACAACAAACATGGCGTCAGGAGGCGGCTAACTGAGAAGAAAAGCTGGGTATCCTCCAGAGCCGTTTTAAATAAAAGTTGTATTTCTTAATTAAAGATAACATTTGCTTCGTCGTGATCTCAAGATGGAGTCTGCTTTGTTTCCAGAGGATGTTTTGGAGAGGAAAGTGTGTGTTGTCGGGTCGGAGCTGGTGGAAAACTACACTGTAAGCTACACCCGGGCTTCCTCTAGCCTAGCACCTCATAGCATGTCTATTATGAAGCTAGCCTAAGCTTCAGATCAATTATCGTGACAGTGAGTTACTGTGGAAGAATATAACCTATCGGTGAATATGTACGGTGTTCAGTTACAATGCTTGTTTTCCATCAGTCAATATGTCATTTTCCTCCTGAGGCTTTACTCAATAGAACGACAGATCTGACAAGCTAAGTGCTAGCTGCCGTGCTAACTGAACTAGCTGTCAGTGTTGCAGCGGTTTTTAATGTTTCAGACAATATACACAAGACATACAGGAATAAGAGTCGAGACGAATCAAGGCATATTGACCTTGTCAAAAACAACAACATTGTTCTTTTAAAAACTGATTTCAGTATTTATAAATCATGCTCATCCGAAAGTGAAAATAAAAAGGCATATTAACCGAGTTTTGTTCAGGTGATTGGGAACAAGAGGTTATTTGTTTTGTTTTTAAATATAGCCTACATATATATGTTTATATTCTGGTAACTTATCCAGTAAAGCTTTTGAAATCAATAATAACATCAAGGTTGTTCTTAAGTACAGTGAAGTCCATTGAACAATTTCATATATCATTGACAACAATGGCTTCTTTATATTGTTGTTCACATGACCGCACATTACAGCCCTTGAAACTTGAATGATGTGGTGAAGTTGAAGGTCCACTATTGACCTAAAAGCAGTTGCATATACGAGGAGATGGTTCAATGGTGGTATGAACATCCATGCTGTACAGGAAGCAGTTTTTGAATCTGGCAGGTTTTAATCACTGAATGTCATGCTGTGCTGTTTCAGGTCTATATCATCGAGGTGTCGGATGGAGAGCACAGATGGACTGTAAAGCATCGCTACAGTGACTTTCACGACCTCCACGAGAAGGTAAGAGACCGGAGCAGCCCAGATCAATCTCAATCAACTTGATAGTTCCAAAAATCACTTTAAAAAAAAAAATCTATTTGAATTATAGAGAAAACATAAATAAATAGTAGAGGCACTATATGGGATGTAGGGTCTATAATTATTATATGTATGTTACGATCAAATATGAGGAGAGCAATAAAGACAGACTTTTTAGTATTTTCTGCCTATACAACTTTTTCATTTGTAATTACAAAAAGACTCAACGCTGGAATGAAGGTTGACTTAATGTTTATCAATTAGTTATCTGCTGATCGTAATGTTCTAAAGTAAGAATGGGCCTTTCATTAAATTACTGAAGGCACAAACCTACAATAGAACACAAAGAACGAGCTTCAAACAGGAAAAAACATCAATATGTCTTATATGGATGATTAATTAATTATTTAAACATCAACAACAAAAACGTCTAAAATGTCCCAGAGGGGACCTCTTAAAATATATTTTGTTTACATTTATTTATAAAAAAGAGAAGCAGCCAATCCTCATATTAGAGAAGCTACTGTACACTTGGACAGCTTTAAGTGTTTTTTTCCGTGCAGCTGACGGCAGAGAAGAAGGTGGACCGACGGCTGCTTCCTCCAAAGAAGATGTTGGGGAAGAACTCAAAGAGTCTGGTGGAGCGGCGGCAGAAGGAGCTGGAGCTTTACCTGCAGACGCTGCTGCAGCAGTTCCCAGAGGCCACACCGTCTCCACTCACCTGCTTCCTGCACTTTCACCTTTACGTGAGTACTCTCGAGGCTCCTACTACATATGCACAGTAACCTGTTTAAGCCTAAACATGTTCCCAGTTCATCTCAAATCTATTGGATGGGTCTGAGGGCAAGTGATGTTCTCCCACTGAACTGAGAAAACGTTTATTTACGGACTCCTAACTATTGAAGCAACAGTATTAATTAAATACTAAGTACTAGTATTAATTGTTCTGTTTATGTTTTTATGTTTCATGTGGAACCTACTTGAGCAGGTCTCCCTTGAAAAAGAGATCAATGATCTCAATGGGATACACCTGGGTAAATAAAGGTGTGAAATTAAATGAAAATACAACAATACACTTCTTGTCAATCTCCAAATCTATTTTTGTTTTTCCATAATTGTACAGGATGTTATAATGAAGATGGAGCATTCGAAACTGGCCAATCAGACTCCCATATATCAGTTTTTTCGCTAGTTGTGCCACAGGACTTTCCATCATAAAAGTAATTGTTGAATTACATAAATACACTTTTATATCTGCTATTGAATAAAGATTACTAAAGCTTTTTTGGATGCTGTCAACAAAGAAAGAAAAATGAAAATGTGCCCAAAAAAATGCAACTGCTTGGGCTCCGTATAGCTATATTGGGGTTCTGTCCCTGTGGAGAGGACACGGGTTTGAATATCGCCGAGGACCATTTGCCACGTGTCATCCCATCTGTCTCCACCACATAACCAAAGGCACCGATGGTCCTAAACATTTCTTTAAAAAAAAAATTGCAACTGCTTTACTCTGTTTTGTAATTATAATCAGAGAATGTTGCAGTGTTTAGTAATTGAAACATATACTGAAAGATTAATTAAGACTAGATGAGTCTTGTCTGGCGGGTCTATTTTGCAAAACGCTGTGACACAACCTTAACTACACTTAAAGCAGTTAAATTGTTTAAACATTTAAATTGCCTCAGTTGTATCAAAAGTTGCTGATGGGCAGAAACTGTTAGGTGTGTCATAAGATAAAAGGTAGTGGGAGAACAGTCATTTGTCTGTAAATGGTGATCCTTTCTCAGTCCGAGAGGCGCTGCTGCAGGCTGGTGTAACAGTTAAACCTGTTAAGCCCGAGAGGACCCTAATCCGGGTCCGGTGGGTAGTTTTTTCACGAAACTGTGTCTCAGGTAGGGCTGCTCAATTAATCGTATTTTAATCGCAATTACTATTATGGCTTGCAACGATTACGAAAACAAAGTAATCAAAATAAAACAAATTGTTTTATTATTATTATTAATTTTCATTTTTTATTAATTTTGATTTGTATTGGTTTTTCAGTTGAATTATACTTAAAGTTCAGGGTAATCAACTGTTAAAAACATACTGTTAACATTTTTTTCTCTAATAAATTGATGTTTTCAAAGTAAATGGACAATCGTTTTTAATAATCGTGATATCAATTATTGACCCAAATAATCGAGATTATGATTTTTGCCATAATCGAGCAGCCCTAGTCTCAGGGCTTCTTAATATTTAAAAACCTATTAATGTGTCATACTCACTTAACGGTTAGAAACTCAGCTAACTGAAGATATTAATCATTTTTACCGAAACAAAGCACAAGTCTCACAAGAAGCGTCTAAATGAGCCCTGAGCGAAAAACTGCTAACGCACTTAGCACAGAACTCAAAGTAAAAATACCCTTATTACTTATCGTAACTGCACATACAATATATCAGATTCCACAGATTATATAGGTATTAGTATCATCACTGAGCGATCAGAACTCGCGACAGGGGAAGCAAACACAGACATCACAATACGTAGCTTCACGGAGACGGGAGATCGTCTTACCGTAGCTGTTATTCTGATCAAAAGTCGTCTTCAATGGCATTAAAACGATAAAAACGCTGCCGAAGGTTAATCCATAGGTTAATCCAATGTGTCTGTGTCACTTTGATATGATTCCTGATAATCCATCATTTCATTTTTATGTCAAAAACGGAGATTTCATATTAGCTGCTAATGATAGCCACCAGAGTGTATCGCAGCTTCCGGTTCCGGGGCATTCTGGCTGCGCATCACTCATTCACCAATGGGTAATGTTTAGATGGATTGTAGGAACTTCCCCTCGATTCTATTGGCTCTAACGGTTAAAAAGAGGTGTCAATCATCAAAATCAAACGAGGGGGGCCAGAGATATGCACCCAAATGACCCCAGAAGTGTTTTAAAAAAAAGAAATCTCTCTAAAAAGGTTAAATATCACTTATTTTGCGTCAATCTTGATACAGAGTACTTATTATATGTTATAGTTTGGATTCCTAAAGCTTTTAGTCTACTATCCCATCATTCAAGGGTGGTTCTCACTATAAGTAATGTTTTTATTTTTGGACAGACACTATCATTTCAATGGCTCATGTTCAATCTGAATTTACTTAATAAAAACATCTATATTGATTCTGACTTTTCTACATCCAACTCACAGGTGTAACCTTGCTTTGAGAAAAAAGATTATTAACTTACCCCTTTTAGAAGGGAAGATATGGTCATTTGTTCTGGGAATGTCATTTTCGAGCCTGAGACCTGGAAAACAGGCTCAGGGCTTAACAGGTTAAAGTCTTTGTAGTGCTCGTCGTGACCATTGATTATTTGATGATGTTCATACAACAACAGAGCAGTATTGTCTGCAGAGTGAAGGCTGATTTAAAAACACTCATGTGATGCGAGATGATTAACTGGTGAGTGTCAGTTGGCAAACTTTATTGTTGTTTATTATTCAGCTGCATTAATGATGCAAACTTCTATTGTGTAACGTAATGCAATGAAAAGAATTGACAGCATGATGTTCATGTTCTGAAGCAATCATCAGGCCTTTCCTGTTTGATTTGTTCATCTTGAATAGACGAAGCAGTGTGTTTAACAAATGATAAGAATAGGCAACATCCAGCAACAATAGAACGTTGAAACTTCTGTACGTCTAGCTAATGTTATCTGTTGAGTAGTGAAGAAATCAACCTTGTTTGTTGTTTTGAAGTGAATTCAGTTTTTCAACAATCTCTCTGTCTCTTTCAGGAGATCAACGGGATCACAGCAGCTCTGGCTGAGGAGTTGTTCAACAAAGGTTAGCTTCCTATGACCTTTGCCCTCTATCTTCATCTAGTGTTTCTAAAACTGTCCTTTAGTGGAGAGTGTGCTTCCAGTTCATGTAGCTGCAAAAGCTTTCTCCCTGTCGTTATTTCTATACTTATCAGTTTTACTGATAATGTAAAGTAAGATAAAATACTTACAATGACATTACATCTCTTACAGTTCTTTATTTCTCAGGGACAATGCAAACTAATTAGAATGTTTTAGTTAAATGCATAGTTTTAATCCACAGTGAGTACATGTCATTAATACTGAGTAGATTCTTGCACAATGACCTGATGTGAAACAACTATTCTTAATACGTTTCTCAATATTGGTTAGCATTGTTTTCTATTCCTTTTGTGTTGAATAGAAGTCCAACATATTTAAATTGGTAAATATCAGCTAAATATATCAATTTGACTGAAACAAATATTTGAGATTTAAATGGTTTATTGTCATATGCACATTTAAGTCCCAGTCCCCCCCAACATTACAACATGCAATATGAAAGAGACAAAACAAGTCAATATTGTGCTCGAAGAAACAGAAATGAACAAGCACAAGAGAATGGTGCATGCGACTCTCCTTGATCACCTGCAGTCTGTGTTTATGCGACCAATTCTAACATGAAACAACAGATATAATCCTGTACATCGCGCAGTATCAGACTCCTTGTTTGTTGTGTTGTAGGGGAGCAGTTGCTGCAGGCCGGCGAGGTCTTTTCTCTCTATCCTCTGCAGCTTTACTCCGTCTCCCAGCAGCTACGTCTGGCAAAACCAACCTGCTGCAGCGGAGACGCCAAGACCGACCTGGGACACATCCTGGACTTCACCTGCAGGCTGCGATACCTCAAGGTCTCACACCTCTTTAGAAAACTCAAATCCTGTCGTACCGAGTAACTTTGTATCCTAACTTTTCCTTCAGGAGGAAACGTGATGAGTGTTCTCACTGGTTTTTCTCTGCTGGTCAGGTGTCTGGTACCAGAGGTCCAGTAGGATCCAGTAACATCCAGGAGAGCAGTCTCCCCTTCGACCTGTCTGTCTTCAAGTCACTGCTGCAGATCGAGGTCTGTCTGATAAAATACTGCTTAATCAACACATATACACACAAACCTCATGTTTGATGAGGGAATAAATAACACCAGGTTAACAAACATTTCACCCAATTAAATAAGAACAACATTTAATTTTAGTTAAGCATTAGTACAGAAAATATTGTTATAAAATTAAACTCAAAGTAACATGTTTAAACGCCCCAAATTTCATGTGCTTTGACCCATTCCAGAATAATGTATAGGGGCACTATTATGCTTTTTTTGGGTTTCCCTTCCCTGTAGTGTTCTAGAGGTTTGTGTGCATGTAAATGGTCTGCAAAGGCTAACATCCCAAGTCCCCCCCAGAGGGAGTTTCTCTCCCATAACTCTAGTCTACGGTTTAGTAATCTTAAATATGTACAGTAATAACATCATCACTTAGTTTTTGATTGTATTCAAAATTATAAATATGAATCTGCAAAGTAAGTCATTAAATAAATGCAGTGGAGTAAAAAGTACAATCTTGCCCTCAGAAATGTAGAAAATAAAACATTTCCAGCTTCCAAAAATGGAAATACTAAAACTAAAATATAACTTAAAAACTGTATTTCATTTATTTACAAATTCACCTTACTTTTTTCAAACTGTCCGTCTTCAGATCAGTGAGTGCAGCTCGCTGCAGATCCGAGGTCTTTCATCTCTGAGGTCCAGTCTGGCAACTCTGAGTATCCACCACTCCATGGAAACTATGACGGTAAGGTCTACATTAAATACTTCTAGTGTTTATGCAGATTATTGTAGATCGTGACCTGATGGTAATGTTATTTCTGTCTCCCTCTAGTCAATCCTGGTCCCGGAGTCGAGCGAGTTCTCTCAGTGGGAGGCTGAGGGGGCGGAGTCAGGCTGTCCCATCACCGCGGTAATCCCGGTGTGGAGAAATCTGACTACGCTGGACATGAGCCACAACGGCATCAGCACCATCGACAGCTCTGTGGTGAGACACGCACAGAAAACACTGTCTGGACCTCCTCGCAGAAAAAAATGGAACTATATGCATTATTTATCTTTACTGGCCATGGACATCCTGAAAAAGTTGTCTGAGGTGAAAATATATTGAGCTGGATATAATTTTTTAGCATTTTTGAATAAAACAGTGGATACAAATATGTTATATCAGCAGGTCATGCCTTAATATCTTAACAAAGGGCTAAAGAAAGCATGGGTAAGTGATTAAAGAAATGTTAAGGTACATCAGGTTCTGTAGGTTGACTCTGAGTGTTTCTCTGTTGCAGAAACTGATTCCTAAGGTGGAGTTTCTGGATCTAAGTCACAACAAGCTGTCCACAGTGGAGAACCTCCAGGTAAGTGGACAGTTTCCTTTTTATGTCAGTATCATTTATAGGGTTGCAGCTACCTATTATTGAGTTTATAGATCATTATTATTTTAGATAAAGCAATTACTTGATTATCAGTAAAATATCAGTAAATCATTTAAAGAGCCCAACAATAATTTAAGTCTGAACATCAGTCCAAAGATAGTTTCATAGATAATATTTTCAGCTTATTATTTTTTACACTTCTGTTGTATGTAGAAAAAATACATTTCTACATATTTTAATTGTTTGTTTTATTTCTACTCTCGAATGTAGGATTGATAAAGTATTTTGGATTCTGATTTTGCAAATATTTTCCCATACATTTTCTGATTTGCATCTGGTCCTGACAGCTGCAGTTATACACCTCTACAGATGTTTAGTTTGTCATGAATCAATAGCTGTGAAGTAACCTTTCTGTGTTTGCAGCACCTCTACAATCTGGTCCATGTGGATCTGTCCTACAACTGCCTGCAAGTCCTGGAAGCTGCTCACACCCGTCTAGGAAACATCAAAACTCTGAGTCTGGCCGGCAACCAGCTGCAGCAGCTGAGCGGCCTCACCAAGCTCTACTCACTGGTCAACCTGGACCTCAGCCACAACCAGCTGGACCAGGTAAGAACACCGGGACGTCCTGAGACCAGGAGTGAGAAACATAAAAACTGACAGTTTCTTTTTATATTTGATTGTGAGAGTGCAAAAGATGCATTTGCGGCCCGAATAGAAACATTACCAAAGGCCCGCTTAGAGCACTTGGTAGAGCTGGCGACCGATATACAAGCGCTCCCCATGCTGATAACCTGGCTGTGAATCCGCCATGGGACCCATCATCTGCGTATCACCCCCTCTGTCTCCCCCTTTATCAAATTGTCACTACAATGCACTGGTGGCCTGAAAAAAATCTTCAAAAGAATAAAAACATTACCTCCTACAAAATGTATTACATATGCTACTATCAGAGAAGAAGTACAAAATAAACACTAAATGACCAGCTTGTAAATAAAAGATCTATTAAGACATATTTATGTAGTTCAACCAACATTTTAGCTTCGTCTGGTTCCCTTAACAAAAAGCCAATGGGATTTGGGTTGTTTGGGACTTGTGTGTGTTTCATTCCAGCTGGAGGAGATCAGGAACATCGGCTCTCTGCCCTGTCTGGAGAAACTCAACCTGTCCAGTAACCCCATGTGCATCATCCCGGACTACAGGACCAAGGTGCTGGCCCAGTTTGGAGACCGGGCATCAGAGGTACACCACTGAAACCCCACACTATATATATATTTACCTCTTTACTACTGCTTCTACTGCAGCCAATAGCACCAAATGTTTTGTATTGCCGTACTGCTACTACTGCACAGGTAAAACACCCTTAACATTGAATTAAATCCTAATATTTGTATTAATCCACGCAATAGTAAGAAATGACTCTCTACAAGTACCACCACTCCTACCAATATACTATATAAACTGCTTATACATCTACTGTGACACACACAAGCACACTCAAAGACTGCAACCACAAATGAATATAAAGATTAATTGATTAAACCCTTAATAAAACCTGTACATTTTGTACCCCTTTAACTTTACCTTTTTTTACTTTGTACATTTGTAAATTTCATTTAAGAAGTGCCTTCTATTTGTATTTCCTCTTTGCTGCGATTGCTGTTTTTATTACAGTTTTAAAACCCACAGAGAGAAACATGCCGTATATTTATTAAGTATAATCTGATACTGATGGTACTAGTATCAAGATTTCTGCTGTTTAGTTTACTAGAGATACTGCTGCTCTTGATCGTACTTCAGGACTGTCACACGTGTTTTCTTCTCTCTGCGCCTCCAGGTTTGTCTGGACGGTCAGGTGACGACAGAGAAGGAGCTGGACACAGTGGAAGTGTTGAAAGCCATTCAGAAAGCCAAAGAAGTCAAAGACAGGATGAGCAGCGGTGACAAGAAGGTACGTTCATTAGACTTCAGGCAGCAACAAACCAGTTTGTATGATTTCAATTGTCTGTATTTTTGTCAGATATAATGACAGTTGCCACCTAAAAGATGAGAATGAATGATACATTTACATATTAAGTGTCAATAAGTAGTTTATTCATCTCTTTTAGGGATGTTTTTTCCTGTAAGAGGTTTTTACTCATTGTTTTTCAGGTTTTGGGGGATTTTTAACATTATCAGTATTTTCTGTTTTGCAATGATTTTACTCCCAAGACTCTCAACAAGAATCTTGAACCCAAACCTGTGTTAAATGTTATAATGTTCATATCTTCCATAGGAATGAACCCTGAAACCCTCTGTAGTGTTTTTATCATTCTCACCTGATTATAGGCCATTAAGAGATCCGCTCAGAAAGATGTGATAAAGTAAATGACTAACCTGAACATGTGCACATCAGCAGCAGAGTTACGACACATACAGCAGTGTGGGTGGTTGTAATCCTACTTGAAAAACTCAAATGCACCGAGCTAAAACTGATTGTGTTAAAAAAGAACCTACAAAAAAAGTGTAGTTTTAATTTTTTAAAAACCTTGAACCTTCCCTTTTTTTGTTCTTCAATGAGAGCGTTGGAAATATTTTGTATTGTATTTCTTATTCAGGAAAGTTGAGATGTTAAGTGCATTTGGGTCCAGATAGCAAGCAGAAAAGCAGGGTATTGAATGCAGCTTGTTCACATATTCTACACCATTCAATAAACTGAAACCAAGTCACAAGTTGGAACACGATTTTGAAAGTTGAATGGCACAGTTTTAACTCTTGAACTCACACAACCAGATACATAAACAGTAGTATTACAACTGAACTGGACTAGCACTGGTCAAGTTGTTTTCATTTAAAGATACCAGTGCTGTGTCTGTATTCAAAGCTCAAATATCAGTCTTCCACCCCGGTGTGACTGTTCCTCTGCTGCTGATGGAGCTGCTGGGTGGAGGTGTTAGGATGCTCCTCTGCTCCATGATGTCGCTGCTCTCTGAAGCTTCCTCCTCTCTGTCCTCTCGTCAGATCAGTGAGGAGACCAGGCTGTCTGCTGCTGCACCTCCTCACCTCTCCTCCTCCTCTCCCCCCTCCTCTTCCTCCTCCTCCTGCTGCTCTGCTGTCGCTCCTCCCACTGTCACCTCTTCCCCTTCCTCCTCCTCCTCCTCCTCCTCTTTCTCTTCCTGTCCGGCCCAGCAGGCCTCTTGCCCCAGCCAAGGTAATCATGTATGTATCAGACTGTGCAGGGCTGAGGGAGGGGTGGGGGGTGGTGATTTGGTATCATTTGATTTAAGGCAACAGCCAGACAGATGAGTATGTTTCTCTGCTCTTTATCAGCTGCTTGCTGCTGAGCAGATAGTGATTATTTTCATTATCAATTCAACATATTTTTAGCTAATGTAGCTCACCTGCTGCTGTTGCTTAGTCTTGTTTTAAACCAGATATCCCCAGTGTTTTATTTCCTGTAGAATACACTTTGCTTTTCTCCTCAAACTTGTACAGCTCTGGAAAAAGAGACCAATCTCTGCATGTTTGGCAGACATTCCATTCCACTGTCTGTTGAATTCTAACACAGACATGTTGTCAGTAGTTTAAAGAATCAAATAGAAAAGGTTTTACTCAAACACATATCTATAAATAGTGAAACTGATAATGCTGCAGGGGTCTTTTAACTTTGTCCAGAGCTGTATACAGTGAATGGTGACCAATTGCCTGTTGCTTTAGCTGTTCATAACTTTAAGCCCCTACTGACTTAAATCTTTACTAAGATGACATTTGTCCATCGCACAGGTTGCAACAGCCTCATTTTCTCATAGCTCTAATTAATTTGACCAAACCAACCAATAATACAAAAAAATCTGCTCATCTCAGATGTTTTACTTATAGGAGATTCAGGGTTTTGTAGGCAAGAATAAGAATCGTTCATCTACAGGTGCCAGAGTAGAAACCTGGCGTCAGCTGAATGTCTTCAAGAGTTTAACACAACTCTTCAAACAACATGTTTATTTCAACATGACAGATAAATCAGTGTCTGGTGACTGAAGATGAATAGCACCATCACCATGTCATCTTAAAATAAACATTTAGTCTTATTAGACTACAGGAATGACTGATCACGTGCACCTCTGCGCTGCTAGTGGAATACCAACAGTAGAGGGTGGTCACAAAGGCCCTGTTTTTAGGAGGCACAGAAGCGAAGTAATGTTCAGCAGCTAAATGTATTTTATCCACCTAAAAAAACAAAACAAATCATCAGTCGAGCTGTATGTTATATTTCAAATATTTGTAGTGCTTTACCTTGCCAGCAGACAGCACTTTGGGGAAAACCCCAATAACTTTACCTTGCAGAACAAGGTAGTTGCTGGTCTGACCACAAAGGTTGTGCTAGGTTTGAGATAAATCTGTTTATTTTTCTGAATGATTAATTTAATTAAAACTGAGTGGTGGCTGTTCCAACAGCTGAGCACAAAGGGGAAAAACTGAAGGTTGATGGACACCCTGATCATCCTGACTAACATCTGTCTGTGTCGCGTAGCACAGGCTGCACACTGTGAATGTCCCTATCCAAATAATAAGAACTAAGTGCACGTTGGATTTGTCTATTTTTGAACATTGTCTCTGATTCACACTTTGCATGATGAGATATAAATGGTTACAACATTTGAAAACATGATTTCTGTCAGAACTGAGTATGCATGAATATGTTTAACTGAAGCTAGACGTTATTTAATATTTTATTTTGACTGTTTCATAGATTATGACAACGATAAATCATTGTCATAATCTATGAGTGCTGATGATTATCTCTTATTCTTGTTTACACTTTTAGGGTTCTGACGTGTCAAAAATACCCATCATTTCTCAGACCCCGTGTTTAGTAACTAATGTTAAGACAAGAAACATCTTATAATATTTATATTTAAGTAGCTTCAGCCATCAAATTAGTGCAACATGTTTTGAACACAATTCAATATGTTTTGGTAAGAACTTGTCAAATTATTCTGCACGAAAATATAAACTGTCAATCTGTCAATCAACCCAGAAGGACATCAGTAAACCTGCAGAGCTTGCTCCTCGCCTCACAGCAACCCTCATTTATTTGGTTTCCTGTTTCAGAAGTGACAAGCAGAGAAGACTCCGTTCCCCCCAGCACTCTCCCGCCTGTGGACGCTGCACCCCCCCCACCAAGCTTTAACACCAACACAAACCTCCTGCCTGCTGACCCCACCCAGGTGAGGGCAGCATAAAACAACCATCATATTATCATCACATATTGCTCTAGTTTCTGCTGGGAAGAAAACAAATGATTCACTTTAGACTGTCTCTAAATAATAAAATACAATATTGTTTGCACTCAAGTTCCGCGACGACCTAATTACAGACGATTAGCGTTTGCTGAATGTGATATCTGTGGCTGATTGTTTGAGTCTGCTTTGACGGACAATCGAACACATGTTAGGTTCTAATTTCTAAACCAATGAACACGACAGCAATGCATCCTTCAGTTTTCTCTCAATATCTTGATGGATCAAGCAAGGCAAAAAGACTAGCATTAGTTTGTCAGAGGACTGTTTTACAAATGATTTAATGTTTTCAGGATATCATTTAGGCAGATGGCATTGTGACTGTTCTGAGATCTGTCATATGTTGTATAAAGGAAGAATAATGTGTGAACAAACTAAACTTCTAATTTAGATTTGACGTGTAATAGTTTATCATTGAACAAAATGTCTTGATTCAAAACAACACATTTTGGCAAATGTTTTGATATTTCTATTTAGTCTCAGCTGCACTCTAATGTTGTTTTGTTGTCTGCAGGTACACCAACCTGCTGTCAGTCTGTCTGAACACACACTCTGTGGAGCTCCCACAAGCATAACTACTACCACTACTACTAATACTACTACTACTACAAATTCTACAAAGGCTGTCTGGTCAGTATCAAATAACAACAACTCTAAATACAATTTCTGGCACGTTTACTTAAAGGTTATTGTATTTCTCTTAATCTACTGCTGGGGAAAATCTACTTTTAATCCTTAAACTTATAATGTTCAACACCTTTTCACAAAGTTAAGACTTTTCAGGAGTAAAATAATATGAGCAAGGTAGAGGTCGTAATATTCAGAGACTATTTTTGTAGAGTTTGCAAATTAAAAAGGTAGCATGCTAATGTGAAATGGCTAGCTGTAACTTGGATCAATGCTGTTTGGATCTGGTGTTGCTTGCTTGGTGATCTTAAAGGGTATTCTGCTTTTTCAATGTTTTCCTTTCTTATAGTGTGTTATGTTTGCTATAATCGCTGTGTTCCTCCCAAAGGGAGTTTCTCTCCCACGCACTCCCCCAACCATTGGATTCCTTTGTTCTCCTTCCATCACATAATGACACAACTATGTGACACTCACACTTCTATTGGCTAGCGCTTCAACACATTGAATGTGATAGGGTAAGGGGAAGGACATATCTAAGCCGTTGACCAATCGCAACACAGCCGACCAGCTAACCAATCAGAGCAGACTGGGCTCTGGTTTCAGACAGAGGGTGAAAAGAGGTGCTGCAGCACAGGCAGGATGAGAGAAAACCCCACAGTAGAGACACATGAACCTGGAAATGAGCACAGTAGGGCCCCTTTAACCAATAAAGGCATTCGCAAATGGATGTTTTATCATGGAACCAATGGTCTTAATAATAGAGGAGCATTCTATATGTTATTTAAAAATGTAACGTCCATAGGTTTAATTTATACCAAGGATATGAAATAGTAGCAGGGGTGTTAATGAATTGAAAATGAGCGGATAGGGAAACTGAAGCAATAAAGTCTGGTAGTCATTTCTGAACATTGTTTCCGTCATGAAATGTAGAAAGAAAGATCTCCATCCTGTTTCTCCTCCAGTTGCGCCTGCTGCTCTTCCCCCTCCTCCAGACCAGATGAGACCCCTTGCTTCTCCTGCAGCGCAGCCTGCTGTCCTCTACTTCCTTCTCTGCTGCTCTCCCTCTCCTCCTCCAACAAATACTTCATTACCCAGCTCTCCCATCGGCTAAGCTCCATTCTGAAGGAGCAGAAAAGGGAGAAGGTGGAGGAGGAAGAGACGGAGGAGGAGAGAGAGGAAGACAAGAGGTCTAAATGCAGAGAGCTTCAGTCCCATGTGGAGTGCACTGAGGAGGGAAGTCTCAGGTAATGTAACCACCGACCTTCTCTCACTGGTTTCCCAGTTGATCCCCTAAAAAACAAATCCCCTCAGATGTTCCCATTCGTTTTTGGGATCCCTTCAAATTCAAAAAACGTTAATAATTGATTCATATTTCATTCTCATTATTACAGTCCAGGCTCCAGGGACGGATACTTCGAGATGGGCCTGGATGACTCTTTAGAGGAGTCCGTCGGCTCCTCTTCCTCCACGTCGCTCGCTGTTCCTTCTGCAGAGGAGCCTGGTAGCCAGCAGGAGGAGCTGTGTGAAGAGGAGGAGGAGGAGGAGGAGGAGGAGAAGAAGAAGAAGAAGAAGGAGGAGAAGGAGGAGAAGGAGGAGGAGAAGAAGGAGGAGGAGAAGGAGAAAGAGGTGCAGGTCAGCAGGGTCCTGTGGTGCTACTGTCTTCAGCTGAAGGAGGAAGTGGAGCAAAAGAAGGCTTGCCTGGTGCTGACAGACCAAATATTGTGCCTGATGTACCTGTCAGATGATTTCACACGGTCCAATCAGGACGCAGGTAAACACACAATCAGATTGAGTTTTTCATATTAGTTTACTTTGCTGCTTGTTGCCAAGTGAACTAATCGTGCTTCATGAGAATTGCCTTGGTTCATGGAAAGGCATTGTAATGTTCTGGTACCTACAGTCATGCACATCCAAGTCCGGATGCAACACCAGGTCTAATGCAGAACCGTTTACTATTAGCAGTAACAGAGCTAAACTTAATAAATCCACGTAGCTTTCCTTTTAATAATAACGTATAAACAGCAACAATGATTTATAAAGAAATGTTGACAGAAAACCAAGGGATCACCGTGCTAACAAACACAACAGTAACTGCCTTTTTTTCACTGTGTTAAAAGCATGCATATCATCCAAAATCAATTACATGACGTGCGCTTGTTGATTTGCTGTGTGTTTGAATATTAAGAGCAATCTGTTCTCAGACCAGGAGCAGAGTGTGGAGGAGGTGCTGTCCAGCCTGCAGGTGGACCTCCTGCTGCCGTACTCACAGCTCCTCCTCTCCTCCCAAGCCGAGCTCCCTGACTCCTGCCTCGCATTCGGCCTCCACGCCGCCCCGACCCGCTGGTTCCTCTTCTCGGAGCCCGAGGCGCTCCGGCAGACCAGGAGCGAGCTGAAGGTGTTGATCCAGGTCAGAGAGCAGCATGTGAAGCATTGAGAGTTCCTACATTTTACAGCACAGATAGTCCAATTTAGTTTCCCTTTTTAAACATGTTTTTATTACATTAGTAGGTATTGCGATCATTTTAGGTGTTCTTTAAATATTACAACTTTCTCACAGGAGAGAGCATCACAGTTCACTACGTTGCTGAAACTTGATTTGCAGACAGTACATCTTATCACGATGAGTAAAGACATAAAGTGGTTCTGGTTGGACTAAAGTCTAGAAATCTGGTATGGACATACTGTTATCTAACGGTAGAACTTTAAAAAAGAAAAATCCCAATTCTATGTAAACTCGGTGTCAAGATGTTTTGAAAGTGAGTAAAAAAGGTTACATTGGGATATTATTTAACAATATGAATGAACACAATGCCGTATTACCTTGTACTGTTTCTGATTTTATGTAAAGCGTCTTTGAGCACCAGGAAAAGCGCTATAAAAATGAAATGTAGTATTAATATTTGTATTATGCATTTGGGGTTTGCCTGTCCCGGTAGTGTGCTATACAGGGTTTTGTGCATGTACTGTAAATGGTCTCCAAATAGATGTTTGGGGGGTTTCTCTCCCACACTCTCACCATAGGTCACCAGTATGATATGTGAAGCATATACATGTCAATACCAAAATAAAAATAAACGTATTTTCCTCCTTTTCTCAAGGCCGTGAAGTCTCAGCCTGACCCCGAGCCCCCCCTCCCTCCTCAGCTCCTCCACCGCTCGCTCATCAACTCCTGGGAGCTGGAGGAGAGTCAGGGGGCCCAGGGAGGCTATGCTGCCTTTCTCCTTCCTTCCTCCTCCACCTCCTTCTCGGCCCCGGACACCCACCCGCTCCTGTCAGACATCTTCTCCAGCAGAGAGGACCCCAGCCTCCCTTCCCTCCTCTTTCTCACCCACAGACACCTCTGGGTGCTGAAGATTGATTTCAGAGAGCTGGCAGAGAGTGAGAGAAGGAGCGCTGGCCTTCATCACTCCTCCTCCTCCTCCTCCTCCTGGTGCAGGCTGGTCCGTGTGCCCATCGGCTCCATGGTGCTCCACCCTGGAGAAAGGGCTTCAAAGGTCGAGGAAAGAAGCAGCAACACCTCCTGCCCCGACCCCAAACACCACCACAGGTACAGAGGCTGTGGCTGGATCAATGGATTGTTTTGCTTTTCTGTGTAGTGTATTTATCCCAGATTTTTACTGACAATTACATTTTTATAAAGTATAATTTGAAAGCAGTCGTGTGTCTGCACAACATTTAACAGGACAAAAAAAACGAACATGAAGTGTGTTAAACAGGGTTTCAGCTAGATAAGTTATTTGTGTTATTATATATTTAATGGTAATATTTACAAATGTTTCTTTTTTAACTTTTCCAAAAGTCTTAATCACAAAAATAATATAACTTCCAAAATGCCCCACATATCAACAGAATATTCTTCTTTAGTCCATATGTGTTGGTGTTTACCTTTCAATCATGTTTCCAATGCAGTACCAAAAACACATGATATAATAATAATAATTGGGCAAAACATACTTAACAGTGAATGTTTGGGGACACAAATGTAATGTCTAGATAGCCGAATGTCTTTGTAAAACAGAAAAGCGATTTCCTACTTAATGATTTAGTTTCCTCACGCTTTGGTCATCATCTGTATTTGAACTCTTATGTTGAGCGCAGGAGGAGTCACTCTGTGGAGCTGCTGCTGGGCGGTCAGAGGCTGCTGCTGCTCTTCCCTCTGGCCCAGAACAGGAGCTCCTTCCTGGGGGAGCTTAGGCAGAGGAGAGCTGCTCTGGAGGGGCTGAAGATGGTCGCCCTGCCTCTGCCCTGTCCACAGGACGGGCCGCACACACGAGGTTAAGACTGAATACCATGGTCTTTGACTCTTACTGGTGTATTCTCTCCGTGGGGTGACACATTGTTGTTGTGTTCTCAGGCCGTCACGGATCCAGAGACCAGTGCTGTTGTTCCAGCAAGAGGAAATCACACAGCACCAACAGGTACACTTCTGAAGCATCAAATACTACCTGTCCGTAAATCTTCTTCCACTTGATGCTGCATTGAAAGCTGCATGCTAATATCACACGTTTGCTGTTATTAAAGCCTCTAATGCTGTAAGTATAACGCACTCATTTTATCGGAGCACTGATTTATCAGACATTATATATCTAAAACAAACCATCATACAGAATCAATCCTGTTCGCCACGATGAAGCTGTCATTTCATCACCTCATACATTGGCATTGTTGATTTGATCACATATATTCATCAACTTTGTGTTGGGTGATGATTAGTTCTCAGAAACATCAGATATGTTTGAGATTATATTTATAATATTCACAAAGTTTGTCCACCAAAAAGCACAAATTAAAATGTCCTCAATCAGGACATATTTTGGTAACAAGTATTTAAAAACTTCTTATCAAAATGTTTGTGAAGTCATTTGCAAATGTTAAAATACAGATATAATCATTTTTAAACCGATGTTGTAAAGGAAATCTTTAGTTTTATGTTGTTCCTTGTTTGGAGCCGTGTACATCTTTTTCTGAAAGCTAAATAGACTCTGTGCAGCACATTCCCTCTGACTTCTTTAAGATTCATTTCTGATTAACAGAGATATCATGAGAGGTTACAGTTGTATTTATATTTGTTCTACTTCTCTGACCTCCTTCTTCTCCTCAGCTGGGACTCCTCCCGTCTCCAGGTGGAGGAGAACCAGCCGTCCCCCCACCTCACCCCAAGTCTCTCCCCAGGACTGAAGCTCCTTGCTGGGCTCGGAGGGGAGCAGCTGCTGACCCACTTTCACAGATATATAGCAGAGGTAACACACACAGTGTATTTTTGGTACTCTTATGAATAAAAACGTGAAGAATTTAAACGTTTTGTAAATTGAATTTACATTGTTTCTAGAATGTCAGGAACTGCAAAAAGTTTCGATCACGAGTTTACGAAGCCCAAAAATCCATTGTAACGGGTCATCAGTGCAAAAACAGCTATTATCATATAGACGGGAGAAAAAAGGCAAATCGAAATGGCGCAAACTTTTGCTAAATGACTAATTCATTATCAAAAGTGGTGCGGATTGTTTTTTCTTTCAACATTCTTATTGTTCTAACTTTACTTTTTGGTTAGCCAAGGCAGAGCAAACCCCTGGCACAAATCACATTTAGAGTTCTGAGTCGACCCCAAGTCTCTTCTTCTTGGAGGACCTTTGAACTGCGATAAGGCGTTTCCCCCCCCCCCCCCCCCTTCCTTGTTGTTCATGTTTAGAAAGGGACACACTTTATCTTTGTTTTGTTTTTGACTGCGTTTTAAAATGTTTTGTGTCAGTCTGAGTCGGAGGAGGTGAGACAGGTGTTGTGGCTGTCTGTGGTTCTCTACAAGTCTCCAGAGTCTGAGCTCACCTGCTGTCTGCTTCTATCCAACAACACCATCTACTTCCTGTTGGAGGACTCCGCCGCCACACTCGTTCATCACTCTGGTAGGATATACACAGACATGTTGGTTTAGTCAGTGAGAAAAAAATTACATTTAAAATCACATGTCACTGCTGTTGTAAAGAGGCCCTATTGTTCGGGGGGTTGTTTTGGGGGGTTTCCCTTTCCTGTAGTGTGTTGTGTTTTTGTGCATGTAAATGGTCTGCAAAAGCTTAAATCCCAAAGTTCCTTCCAGAGGGAGAACAAATAGACCTTTTTGAACATTAATGCATGGAAACATGTCACAGTAGAGTCACTAAATACTAATACGAACCTGAACATTTGGTTTTTCTCACTCATACTTAAAGGGTTATCTCTGATTGAGAAAAACCTTTAAAAGTGAGTCATTTCTGTTTGAATATTACTGCTCCTGCATCTATTTCAACATTCCTAATCATATTAAGATTGTTTTTAGCATTTTCCCCCCATGGAAGCCGTGAAGAAAACTAACAAATAACAAAGAAACCATAGCATGGTACACATCTGCACATTTGCAGTGTGTGTGTAGACTTTCAGCTTTGTTAAATCAGTTCTCTATCTTCTCTTCCTCTTTGTGTCTGTCAGTGTTGGACGTTATGGACTCTGGAGATCCGGACTTGTGTCTGTGCTGCTGTCTGTCCGTCAGACTCTCTGATCTGCTGTCTGTCAATGTGGGACTGTTCGACCAGTACTTCAGAGTCGTAGGTCAGTGGAAGTTCCCACTCCTTGTCCCTGTTTGCAGAGCTCATATACATGTATAACAAAGTACCTCTTAAAGCTGATATAACTCTGTCACACTCTCACTTTCCCGATCTTCCCATATGTCTCTCCCCTTCCTCTCTCTGTGTTTGCAGGCCGCTCAGCCGATCACATCGTGTGCTGCCTCAGCAGGGACAGTTATGGGACGGGTGTCTTCCTCCAGGAGCTGATGTCGGCTCTGAGTCTGCAGCAGCAGCAGCTTCCTCAACCAGAGCCGTCTGATCAGGACTTCTACTCACAGTTTACCAGCACAAACACCGGTAACCAAAGAAGCCTTTGGGAAGTGTCATATTTGTTTTGTCATCAGATCCTACCTAAATACTCCACTCATGAATGTCTGAAGCTTCTATGTGTTATAAAAACAGCGATTGCAAACAAATGACTAAATGAGACTACTTAACGTCATCATGCCAACACGAGTCCTCCTTAGAATAGCGGCAGTGATGCACAGCCCTGCAACCATGATGTATTTTGTTTTATATAAAAAAAAAAAAAAATGTTTTAATTGATTTATTTGATTTATCTTGTCAATGGATTTGTATCAAAGTATATGTTTTTTTATCATACTAATTGTTATTAGATCTGTGCGAAGTTAGAACAAATTGTATTGTTGTAAGAAGACCAATTGTTGACCCAGGATTAAGCGGAGATTTTTTCTCCCGCTGCAGGTAAGATGCAGAACTACGAGCTGCTCCACAGCAGCAGGGTGAAGTTTATTTATCCCAGTGAGGAGGAGATGGGAGACCTGACATTCATCGTGGCAGAGAGGAAAACTCCGGCCAGCGCAGCGTCTTCGTCATCACGCTCCTTCAACGTCCTGCTCTACCTGCTAGTTTTCCAGGTACGAAGTCCTTCCTTTTTGATAACTTTGAATTTGTAAGGGGATTTAACATGCTGGAACTATTTCTAGATGTGCAACAGTGTATCCTTCCGCCTAGTTCTTCTCTGCATTGTCTCCAGTTTCAGTGCAGGTTGCCATACACGATTTGGTTTTGGTCTCCGAACAGGCACAACAATAACAAACCTGGCAACCTCAGCTGCACACAGTCACTGTGCACATTACTCCCCCTGGACACAAAGTGTTTTTTAGGTTTCTTATTCGAGACACATTAACAAAATGGCAATAAATACGATTTTGGGAGATTGATAATGTAGGTGTTGATTTGGAGTTTGAAACAAAAGCAGCGTTGGGAGTGTTAATTTAAAATGTTATCCCCATACAGTTACTTATTAATTGTTAAAAACATGTTGAATCCAAATATCTGGTGATCAACAATTCTTATTTTCATTATAGAACAGACAATAACCTTCACACAACAACAACAACAACAGATTTGCAAACACAAATTCTTAAACAGGAATAATTTGTTAAAACTGATCAAATTAATTAAGAAAAATACTAAATCATTCACTCAATACAAACAGTCAAATCTCATACAATATTTTATTTGAGGATTTTGTTTAAGGATATTTGTATCTTCAGTTTGATGAGACACTATACGCTTTATTTGAAAACCTCAATAGAAGCTTTAAATGTTCTGTAGAGCCCTAGTATTTTTAAACTGTGCTATAAAATAATTCGTATTCCTTCCTCCAGGTCCAGATCCCGAGTCAAGGCTCCACTCTCTCCGGCCTCTCTTCCTCCTCCTCTTCCTCCTCCTCTGGGCTGTGTCCGGTCCTCCAGCCCAGGACTCTGATCCTGACCAGCACCGACGTGTTCCTGTTGGACGAGGACTACGTCAGCTATCCTCTGCCAGACTTCGCCAAGGAACCTCCCTCCAGGTGAGCACACAAGACGCCCTCCTGTACCACAACATTTCAAAAACCTTTTATCCTTCTTTATCAGAGGGAGTCATCTGATGACAGAAATAATTCCTGTGATGCCCCTCAGATGCGGAAGCAGGGCCGACCAACGCTAAGCAATCAAATCAGTGAATTATGTCGTCTCCCTGAATGCTGCCGAGCTGTACTTTGGCTGCAGGCTATACAAAAACGGTGTGAGGAAGAACTACAGACTGTGTGCCTTTTTTAGGGTGCGTTCACACCTGCCTTTTATATTCCGGTTGAATCGAACCCTGGTGCGTTTAGCCGCTTGGTGCGGTTCATTTGGGTGGTCAAATAGGTGGTCTCGGAGGTTGCTTGCGAACTCTGGAGCGGTTCATTGCTGGTGTGAACGCAGTCCGCACCAAAACATAGGAAGCGTAGTATTTACGTGTCACAAGAACACGGATATCTTCAAAAATCTTTAGCGAAAGAGTCTTTCAAGACATCCGCGGTTGTTAATTTAAAGAGTGAAGCAAAATGAAGTGTTGAACAGTGTCGTGTAAAGTAAAAATGCTCCGTCAACTACATAAAAGTAAGAACACCTGTCGTTGGTGAAACGCCCCTCCTTACTGCAGAACGTCTCTCATTATATTAGAATGTTTTTTAACGGACGTTGTCTGATTATATAATCATATGTGCGAGCCGCTAGTGTCTGTTGATCTCCAGATTAACGGCAGCATGAGAATAACCTGCCGAAAGTGCCGATGCTCCGGTAGAAATTGCCGGGATTTGCGTTTTTACCCCCTTAATGTCTGACCCAAGGGCGGACTGGGACACAAATTCAGCCCGGGACGTTCAGACGCACCGGCCCACACACCGGGCCGCCGCCCACGCATGCGGGCCACCCTTGTAGCCTACAGATAAATTGTACATCTACTATGCTCATATACTGTATACTGTTTATGGCTAGATTCCCCAGAGTCAAGCCATAACATAAAAGAGATGGACAACAGGAGTAAGGTGCAAAATGAAACCTTCCTTTAGTTAAGGTTTCTTAAAAATGTCCGTGTGTCAAAGTGGATATGTAGGAGTCAGTAACGTGAATGTACAATTGGGATTAAGGACAAAGTACAGCAAATGGGTATTGTTAGAAATTGCATGTGTGAAACCCTCCTGTCCACAAGAGGCACTGTGTAGGGAAGCAGGTAGAACTTCCTCACAGGCTATAAATAGAGGCCTGGATGAGGACTTCCTCCTCTTTGTCCTCAACACCCACACCAGGATTGAGTGTTTGGTAGTTGTTTGCCATGTGTCTTTTGATTTACCAATGTAAGTAGAATCCTCTTTGTAATTTTGATGTTTGCACTTGAGTAACGTCAATGGTATTGAACACATTTGTTGTTCAATGTAGTAATGAATATAATTTAGTTCTAATTTGATTGAAGTATTATTTTAATGTGCAAATGCTGTAATCAGTTTGTTTCACCTTTCTACTAGAACCATTGGCAACAGCTACCATCCCACCAACATACCCTGATCAAATAAAACAAAGAAGTTTAAACTCCTGTCTCTGGTGGTTTGTGGCTCCAGTTTGAACATTCATCTCCAACAAATGGTCCTTTGAGCCGGATTCTCAGCAGTGAATGCTCCGTTGATGACATGCCTTTCAGTTGGCTGGTCAATAAGGGAGATTCCAAAGGAAACAGTTGCTCCACTTACTTGCACTATATCCTACCGCACTGCGCGTAGTGAGATTGTTTCAGGCTGTGTTGAGAGACCCAAACACTGGACAGCAAAGGGGAGCAGGATGGATCAATCAGCACCATCATCAAGGACTGCATGTGTTGTGAGGGTCCTGTCCCCATTGTGGAGAATTACATTGACAATTTTCAACATGACTTTATGGGAGCGGTTAGGTTTGTCCATGTAGAGAAGCTCTGAGGAGGGGGATGTGTACATCACTGTAGCTGATTTGTTTGAATTAAAGTCATGGAGAATAGTCAAGTGAATGTCCTGCATAAATTACATGGCCTCTTTAAGGTGCATTTGTCCATTTTATGGATTCTTCCGCATTTAATGCATCTGCCTTTCTCTTTGATCCATTTTGAAATGTTTATTTTGGAGAGTCCTTTGGATTCTGTGCATGAACCAAGTAAATGGTCTCTAACGATACAGTAGGGGCAGTAGGGCTTAGGCCTTTCAACATTCATCCTGTCTTTGGTGTAGTATTTTGGTGTGCCATCCATTTCAGATGCTGTTGAGAGGTAGATAGAGGAGACTTGTCGGGGGGGGCTGGCGTTCCTTTCCAGTCCATGGTTTCTCCTGTCTGTGGAGCTCAACAGCTCTCTCTGCGATGCGTTTAGCTCTGGATTTCAACCGTAGCCATTTTGATAGGTCAAGGAGGGTATAGGTTTTGGTTGCTTGTGCAGTTAGAATGCTACGATTAATGCAGTGCTCAACAAATCCATCTCTGTACTGCACAGGGAGTTTACTGAGGAGTCTGTCCACATGGGAACCACATCTTAATTCGCACCCATCAGGACCCTCTAGAGACAGCAGTATTCCAACCAGAGCATGGATAGAGAGGGAAAGATTATCAAAGGCTTCCACGTCATTAATGCGAACAATGGGGGCATTTAGTATTTCACCTATTTCTCTCTGAACTAGCAGCCTTGGCTGACCATACTTTTCTTTGAGTGCTAAGAGGGCAGTGGAATATGGTCTTGCATCATGCATGCTGGATCTGGCTAATTTGCTAGCTCCTGGGTGCTGAACATGTTCCAAGAGTATTTGGTATTTATACTGCTCTGTAAGATGGGGACATGAGCGCGGGAAGGGGGGTGCTGAGGGCGCTGCAGCACCCCCTAGCGCAGTGGTTCTCAAACTTTTTCTGTCAGGCCCCCCCTTTGGAGAAAAAAAAAAGTCGGGCCCCCCAACACAAATAGTCAGGCTCAGTAGCTCAGGTAGCTTGACGTTTCATAGAGGGTGCTCAAACATTTAGGGTTTCCCATTAATGTACCGGTCGCTACAGTGGAATTTTCTACTGCAACATTCCCCACGCATATACACAGTGTACCCGCGACTGTTACAATGAAGGCTCGATAATCAGCTTAGCAGGGGTAAAGTGCTATTTTTATAGGTGGTGTGTGGACCCCACATAGGGGGGTCCGGGGGCAAGCTCCCCCGGGAAGATTTCATTTTTAAATATTGAAGTTAAATGCATCAATCTGGTGCACTTTGAGAGCAAAATGAAGAGATCTATGGATACATCTCTCAACACGTAATAATACTGTACTGCATCATATTATTTTCGAATCAATAATTTTTTTAATTATGAATTTTATTTTTTTTTTTAATCTTTTTTTTTTTTAACCATTTTTCCTCCTGGTCTCTCGCGCCCCCCCTGGCATGCCTCTGCGCCCCCCTGGGGGGGCGCGCCCCCCACTTTGAGAACCACTGCCCTAGCGGCAGGCAGGGGGTGCGGAGCTCCCCTGTCTGATTTATTATTTGACGGTTATTGCTGCTCCCGCTGTGCATAATCTGTGTAATATGTAGCCAATATTTTGGCCTGCCCCGAATGTTTTTTCTGTAGCCCCGGACAATTCTACCTCAATAATATAATACATTAACCGTGTTTTACGTGAACCTCATCATGACACTCGAGAGGACGGCAGAACTGTAATTTCCCGTGTTCAGTGAATGCAACAGAGGCAAGACACCAAACCAATCAGAGAGTTGCATGGAAATAAAAGTGTGCTTGTCATTCAAACGTGTGTGTGTGTGTGTGTGTTGTGTGTTGTGTGTGTGTGTGTGTGTGTGTGTGTGTGTGTGTGTGTGTGTGTGTGTGTGTGTGTGGTGTGTGTTGTGTGTGTGTGTGTGTGTGGTGGTTGTGTGTGTGTGTGTGTGTGTGTGTGTGTGTGTGTGTGTGTGTGTGTGTGTGTGTGTGTGTGTGTGTGTGTGTGTGTGTTGTGTGTGTGTGGTGTGTGTGTGTGTGTGTGTGTGTGTGTGTGTGTGTGTGTGTGTGTGTGTGGTGTGTGGTGTGTGGTGTGTGGTGTGTGTGTGTGTGTGTGGTGTGTGTGGTGTGGTGTGTGGTCCCCAAACTAAGGCCCGCGGGCCGGGTACGGCCCGCCTCCACATTTGGCCCGGCCCCCTGAACAATACCAGAGACGCATTATGATTTTTTCATTTTTTTTTTTTCAGTCTGGCCACGCGAATCCTAGACTAGCCCCTGTCAAAATGTTGTGACCTGCTCTATCTAAATCAGTCGCATTTGACCCGAAGACACCTTTTGAGTTGTATACACTGTTGGAAAGAGGATATTCCTAGCTTTTCTAATAATATCAGGGATTGTTTTTGTACTTCAAATATTAAGCAAAATAGGTCACATTATATAATGACTGTCACCGAGTCATCATTTTGAGAAAAAGGCCTTCAAAGTTGTCTCTTCTCTGGAATCCATCGATCTGATTGATTATTAGCGGAGCAAATGATCAAAATACTACCGAGGGAAGATATTTTTGTTTGGAGGGGAAGCTCGCGAGTGTGCGTGTATACGTGTGTGTGTGTGCTTGTGTAATTTTGCGTTTGTGTGTATTGTGTTTGTTTCCCGGGGAAAACAATCACGAGAAACACCGGCTGTTGTTATGCCTGCTGTGACGTTAAGTTACTCCGTTCTCCGCTTGTAATTATGCCGAAGCTTCAAAGTTGTATTTATCATCTGAATTTGCCGAAACAAGTTTAATATTCTGAAAGCCAAGACTTTGTTTAATTGAAATCAGATGAAAACAAACTGTAACGGACCCTGCCGTGTTATCTATGATTACTATACTCTTACATTCATAATTTCAGCGGAGTGAGGGGGGGGGCGGCGCTGCGGAAGAGCAGATTGCGAGTGAGAAATAAATAAATTGGAAATAAAAGTTTCATATTCTGTAAGCCAAGACTTTGTTTGTTTAAAATCAAACAAAACACCCGAACCCCGAAAAAATAGTTTTTTTTACGTAAATCCACGTTTATTT